TAACATAATCAGTATGAATGTGAAGAACAAGGTTTAGATCATTTATGGTACATAAGGAATAAACAAAAAATAGAACAGCTTACTCTTTTTGTGTAGGTCAGGAGGCAGTGGCCCTCTGTGCATAGGATCTTGTCAATAAAAGCTGCTATGTAGTCCTGACAGCCTTCCAACCTGTTCAGAGATGTCTTCCTCTCCAACAAACACCCCACCTCCTCCGCATACAGGGCCTTACAATCAAACACTCAAAAATAAATCAATGGTTACAGATTGGAGGTTCCTAAACAGAAATCCAAAATGTTTAAATGTATTTTGCCCTGAAATAGGAAGGTCAAAACTACATCTAACAAGGATTTGGTACAAATGTATGCTATAACTAAATTATGAAGTAGTCTAGAAAATTATCTGCCTGGATGAGTGTAACCAATCATGTAACCATGTCATTCTTACATATTCTGCAAAGTATAAATAGGTGTGCATTTTTCTGTTGGTCAAACTGTAAAGTCAAGTTTTGTCAAGCTATGATGAAAGAGACTGAAGTACTGTAATGATGGGAGATTGAAAACACATTCTGAAATTGTGTGAAGTATGCCGAATATTCATCATTTACCTTTCCACTGAAAAATTTAAATCATGTACAGCATGCTTTAGTAAATGAGGACTATTGAGCACTTACCTCTATCTCCTTTAACATCTGTGTAGCTCTCACAACCAGAGTCTGATAAATGAAGTGGACTACCTGTGTCAACATCTTCTTTGCTGCCACTTTTATACTCTTAATGTCCTGCAATCTAACAAAGATCAAAATACTCTCAACAGCACAATACATACACACAAGAGGAAGATAAAACAGGAAATGTCTGCAAAGTGAAACCATTGAAACACAACTTTGGATGTAAGCACATCTGCTAGAAACAAACTGCTACTGTCCAGCAATATTTAGTGAGCTATGACAAAGTTTGAAAAGAATGCTGTGTGATACACTCTTTTTAATATACTTTATTATGTCTTTCTGTTCAATTCACTAAATACATTATACAAATAAACATTTATTTTATAAAGACATAGTTTTCCCCAGTAATTGTTCAGTTTTTATTTTTTTCTGTATTCTAATGTATGTGCAGGACCGGCCCAAGCATTTATGGGGCCCTAAGCAAAATTTTATTTGGGGGCCCCTCTGTGTCGCCAATACGACTAATGATTATTGTCAATGCTTGATTATTCGCACACTATAAATCTAACTCACCCTTTATCAGTTTTATTAATTTTAGCTGTCTTGCTTACATCATACCAATGTTTTTACCTTTCTGTGATTTTTAATTGTAACAGTAGCAAACCCACAAGAGTGGTCAGGTGTTAATTTGCACTTTAACATTCAGTCTTACAGTACTAAGTGGTATATAATGTGGTGTACTGAAAAGTAGCTAAATAAACCATTTACAGAAAAGATTGCTATTTTAACAACATAAATTATTATACACAGCAGCAAGCCATCTGTACATAAAAAACAACAACTCTTAATCTATAACTAACTAATTGAGGCATAATGATATTGGAATATACTAGCAAAGACCCCAAAGGTAGGCAAAGGTAAATAATGTTAAGCTGTTATTAGTACCAAGTTTATGAAACAATTGTTTTATTACAAAAAATATATACCTAGGAAAGTTATTTTTACACAGAAGACAAAAACTTGAATCTAAAATTCTATTTACACTATGTTAAAATAGCAGGATTTTCTGCTATTTATACTACTTATTGCAAATAGTGGCAATTATCTGCACCTCAGTATTATAGTACATTATAAAACAGTATGCAATAATAACGTATTGAGTGTAAATTTAAAGTTTGCCAAAAGGTGGATTTGAACCCGGGTCGATCGCATCAAAATGAGTACGACACATGTTTTACCATCTGCCCACTGGAGGTGACGACGCTTGACTGTCTTTTGTAATGTTCACTATCCGAATCACACAATGGTGGGCGGAGTTAATGTAAATAGCCTCTGCCAACAAGGCGGGCTATTTGCACTTAGTGTAAATAGATACTTCGAAAAAAATCAAACCATTTCATGTACTCTTGGGGGCCCCCTGGTGGCCACGGGGCCCTAAGCAGCCGCTTAGTTCGCTTATGCCTTGGGTCGGCTCTGTGTATGTGTGTATGTGCGTGTGTATATATATAGTATACATGCATATATACAGTTGTGCTCATAAATTTACACACCCCTTGCAGAATGTGCAAAATGTTAATAATTGAAACAAAATAAGTGGGCTCATGAAAATTGCATGTTATTTTTTATTTAGTACTGTCCTGAATAAGCTATTTCACATAACAGATGCTTACATATACTCCACAAGACAAAATAATAACTGAATTTATAAAAAATTACCCCATTCAAAAGTTTACATACCCTTGAATCTTAATGCTTATGTGTCATTTCCTGGATGATCCACGACTGTTTTTATATTTTGTGATAGTTGTTCATGAGTCCCTTGCTGGTCCTGAGCAGTTCAACTACCTGCGGTTCTTCAGAAAAACGTTTACATCCCCAGGCTCTTAATGCATTGTGTTGCCTTCTTGAGCATCAGTAAATGTTTCCACCTTTTGTAATAGTTGTGTATGAGTCCCTCAGTTGTCCTCAGTGTGAAAATATGGATCTCAAAATCATACAGTCACTGTTGGAAAGGGTTCAAATACGCTGAAGATGCTGGAAAACCAAAGAGCTGGAGGATTTTTCTGAAGAACCGCAGGCAGTTGAACTGCTAAGGACCAACAAGGGACTCATGAACAACTATCACAAAATATAAAAAAACAGCTGTGGATCATCCAGGTAACAACACAGTATTAAGAATCAATCTGTACTTTTAGAGGTGACCATATATTTTCAGAAAGTACACTTTTGTTCTTAATTTCATATGCTGTCATCTCCATATGAAACTAAATCTAACCAGTCCTTTAACACTGGGGATTCTTGCCTCCTACAGAATTTTGTTATTACTTAAAGGTCCCCTGAAATGCTTAGAAACACGCAGCATTACTCTATGTGTTGACATCATTTTAACTGAAACAGGAAGACAGGGCGGGACATATCAAGCAGCCCCGCCCCTTTTTAAAATAGCCAATAGCGTTCGTTTATATCACAGCTTGGACTAGAGCCGTTCAGAGTCGTTGAGCTCCGTAAAGCCGCATTTGACAGGGTATGCCAGCCACAATCTCATCCATATTGCTATAAAATATAGCATTCTGTGTAGAATTCAAATAGCTCCGATACATTTTGTGGTCTGCGCCGACTCGCGCATGTGATCCGCTCCGTGCTATCGTGTCTCTGGACCGGAGCAGAGTGTGTGTGCGGTGCGATGGTTAGCGTGACACAGCGCGAAACCAGACTTCTTTTTTTCCTCAATGGAAAGCATATTTACACTGTTTGAAGCGTTCCCTGTCCCCTATATAGTGCACTGTGTGCCATTCACTGTACAGAAAATACAAATTCTGTGGACAGGTGACCGATTTCAGCCGCGGCTTCAGCGTCTATTTTATAGTATAGGGGGCGGGCACTTCAGATTCTAGAGAGCATTTGATTGGGCAGAAAGTTTGATGAGAAGCTGAAGTACGATGTGACGTCAAAAAAGAGCCGTGAGCCGTTTTGGCGGAAGTGACGAACTGCAAGCTTTGAATGCTTATATCTTCTAAATGCGAATTTTGTCACTGTTTTGGAGCACGCCTATATTTTTACAGCTCCTCTCTCAGGAGCTCTGCAAAGAACAGGTCGATTTTGGCCTGTCTAATTAATATTCATGAGCCTCTCTTCTGATTGGCCTGTTGTTTTCTGAGTGACGCACGGCCAGGCCAACCACAAGTAACCAGGGTCATGTATGCTGTAGCCTGCTGTGGATTGGTGATACTGACAAGTAAGGTCAATAGAAACACCGGTTATGATGGTCACTGCTGAGGGAAATGTTGTCCGGCCTTACATGTTTGAGCCAAACTCAGACCCCGAATCGGCGACGACAGGAGACAACCAACCACCTCCTCAAACGCGCTTACAACAGGATGTTTCAGAATGGTAATTCATGTTTTTTGGGGTTTTTTTTCAAACACCGAATGCAGTAAATACGCCGTGTATGGCGTTTGAGGTCATTTGTGAATTAGCATAGACTTATAGTCTAAATAAAATAATTTGTTAAATAATAACTGTTACTATTATCACACTTGTATACAAAACTTTGTATTATGCTTGTTATAGAGTGTGTGACGTCACGTGCACTACAGTTGACGCGGTTGTCAAGGTGACAATCACAGCCGTACTGTGCAATGATGTAGTTTCCTGACATCCAGACTGAACACCGTTTTCTCAACATGTTTCCATGTTGTTGTTGCTCAGCAATGGCATGGACGCGATGTTGTCTGGGGGTTTGGCAAAAGGAGAGTGGGACTGTGGGCAGTGCTCGGGGTGGTGACTGAAGGCGGTGACTGAGTAGTTCTGATGTCACCTTTTTACGGACGTCAAAGAAAAATCACAGCTACTTTATGCAGGCTGTGTGCATTTCACTGTGGATTGACTGTTTTGAAACTTTTATGGTAGTTACATAGCACCTAGACCGCAGTTATCATGAAAAAAGCCAGGAAATTTCAGTTTTGACAATATGGGACCTTTAAAAGCTGTAATTCTCAATATATGTGAATATCTCCATTTTTTTCATCTTTTAAATAACTTCTTATTTGTAGATACTTTGTAGATACCAAGACAAAGCATATTTCTTCACTATGTTCTCAAAAGTCTTCATTACATTGTCACCATACATTTGATAAAAATCTTTTAAAGGGGTCATATGATGCTGCTAAAAAGAACATTATTTTGTGTATTTGGTGTAATGAAATGTGTTTATCAGCCCAAGCCTTAAATACATCATCTAATGCTGGGTACACACCATAAGATAATCGGGCTGATTTTGGGCCGATTTCTCCCCTTACGACAATCCTAGGTAATGTACCGATTATCTTGGTGGTTCTAAAGATTATCTTATCAGATTTTCCTGTACTGCATTGTGAAATGAAAAACACACCTGAATGTTATTCCATTAATATTAGAGGTTTAGAAACGTCATGAGTATCTTTTCCTTTTTTTTAGATGCTCTCCATTTGTAATTCAAAAAATGGCTCGTAAAAGCAGTTGATATGTGTGTATATATTACAAGTGACTGAAAATCTGGCTTTTACAGATTTACGAGCGTATACGGTGTCCTTCTACCCACTCTTTACCAAGGCTTGCATTCCTTAGAGGTGATAAGAGTTCTGTGTTTTCTCTCTGGATTGGCTAGTTTTGGCTCTTTGGCAGACTTTTTCAGTTTTTTTCTTTACTTTCTAGCATATGTTGTAAATATATTAATTCACTGATCATATTAACATTTATTTACCACTAATTGTTCTAGTAATAATTGTTTTAACATATACATGTATGTGAATCAATATGTTGTGGAGAATTAATTGCATTTTCATTAATTAAGTATTATTAATGGTTTCTTCATCTCTTATATTCCAAAATAGAACATCACAAGGTTGAATTAAATACATTAAAAAAGGGAGGGAGTGCCCAAGCTCGTTGTAAATCCTCGAAAGTTTTTCATATTTGTATTTTTAAAAAAATGTATGTACATTTATAACACTATTCTTTGTATTATATTACCTTTGCATCAAATTACAAAAAACTAGGTAAAGGCAGGGTATGTGATTTTTCGAAAACTGCATCGCGGGACCCAACGCAATAGAGTGCAGCGCGGGACAACACTTGATGGGTGAGTGCGGGTGCGAGCGGGTAGAGACTCGTGTGCGGGATGCGGGAGAATAAGGGTGTATCACACTAGGCAATCTTAACCGTGCCTGAGCGCGTCTGACCCCCAAAGCCCGGTTCGTTTGACTAGTGTGATCGCTCCGTGCTGTGGTTCGTTTAGCTGGCCCTGGCTCGGTTGGAAGAGGTGAGCCTGAGCGCGGTTCAGTTGGGCTCGGGCGCGGTACGCATGTAGTGTGAGCAGAGCGCGGAACTTCTGATATGTGCAGCATGATTGCATGAACATTTCTGAGCAGCAAAAGTGATAGATCTGTAAAGCAATATATTGTGAGAGGGCCGTGTGTAAAACCGCGTCCCAAACGACTCAAAATAATAAACCACAAAGTTAACAAAACTATGCACTCCACTGTGCTGAGCGAGAGCGCTTCTCTGCTGTCTTCACGTGTGTCGCAAATTAGCTCAAAAGGGAAATGTATATAAATAATTACAATTAATTACAATTATTTAAATGAGCTGTCAGTATTAACTGTAGCAGAATTAAATTGCCATCAACTAATCTGTTCGTCCAGCGAACATTTAGTGTAATTTCATATCAACTCTAAGCAAGGACATTTTTGTGGCCACAGAAAACAAACTTCTTACAGTAGCCTAATAATGCATTAGAGCAGGGGTCACCAAGCTCGGTGTCCTGCAGAATTTAGCTCCAACCCTAATCAAACACACCTGAACCAGCTAATCAAGGTCTTCCTAGGTATACTTGAAACTTCCAGGCAGGTGTGTTGAGGCAAGTTGGAGCTAAACCCTGCAGGACACCGGACCTCCAGGACCGAGTTTGGTGACCCCTGCATTAGAGCATGTAGCAAGGACCAAAATCGTAAAGAGACATTATTCACAAGCAGGATCAGAAACTCGTGTAATCTGTGCACAAAAGTTTTATTAACTAAATGCTAACACACATAACTAATCTAAACAAACAAACATACAATCACTTATACATGGGGAAATGGCAAATGAGACTTGATGGATGAAACCATCAGGAAAACCAGAGAATGAAGCTATGAAAGAGTCAGTTAACCACCTGAGTAAAACCATCAGCGCCATTTATAACGGGGTCTATAGCTTATACTAAACCGCTGTTTCGTTTAGTTTAATGTATGATACTTGCATTGCCTTGTTCGTTGACGAGTGTCCGGATGCAGTCTCGGATGAAAGTCTTGATGGTACCAATGGTGTCTTGAACTTTTGGAGGGAAAGTTTACGACTCTTTAGCCGTTTCTCAATATGCGTTCTTGTCTGTACTTGTGTTCTTGTGGACTTGTGAAACG